TGTTCAATAGACACAAACAACAAAACGCTTCGGCAGCACAAACAACATACCGGTGCGCCCATGGCTTTCACATTATGCACATCAATTACGTACATCCATGCTTGGCTAATACTATTTGCACCCTGCATAATTAGATTTAAGCTAAACTAGCTTGTTGAATAAGTTTATTAATTTGGTTTATTTTATGTACGTGCTTGAACAGTTATTTATTTGCACAAAATTAAGTTCATACGAGTTTATAGTTTGTATGATTTTGTTTTCATTCATAAATCTCTAATAAATGTATTGAATTTATTTTCATTTAATTAAGTTAGTACAGGTATTTTAAGTTAAACAAAAGTTGAAACTATTTATCTAGGTACTGGTTACTTTTACAAAGACTAATGAATACAGTATTTTGCACATTAGAAAAATATTATTTTATTACAGTAGTTACAAATCATCATGATTATATCTGGATATAATTGAGCCTTTAAACACAATTTACTTTTGACTACTAATTTTAATTTTACATTATTTTTAGAATTAATATTTATAAATCCTGTATTAACCTTAATTAAAATTGGTTATAGTTGTAAATATAATATTTAGACTAGAAATCTTCATAATTTATACCATATTGCAGACAAATCTTGAAGTGAATTAAATGTTAGTAAGACTATACATAAGCATTGACAGAAAAAAATACTCATTAACTCATTAACTAAAAATTGAATATTTTAATGATTTAATGCTTTTTTAAAATCTAAAGATAGTGTAGTTGTGAGTGGAATTTGAATTGATTTTTAATTTAATACTTAACTCTAATACAGTATTAATTTCAATTTATTCCTTTGAATCTCTCTCTCTCTCTCTCTCTCTCTCAGAATTTTTGTGATAATTAATTAGTTTTACAAATAAGTTTCGTAACTATTCTTTGTTAACAACTCTATTACTGTAAAGACATTTACCTTTGATCACACTATTAAAATATAAATACTTATGACATAATATTTTTGTATATATTAATTATTAAAGCAGTTGCAGTGAAAATTATAATAAAATAAATGAATATAAAAAAAATCTAACACGACTTTTATGATTATTTAATTAGGGATAATAATAATTAATGGTGAAAAAATCTAATCATCAATTCAGTAGACAATTGATGACAAACTTCTAGTTTTTAGTTTTATGATGTCCTTCAATACAGTGGCGGAACACTTGTGGAGACATTTGAAAAACAATTAAATTATTGACAGAAAAGTTTTAAAGTTTTATTTAAATAGTATGAAGTCCCGTATAAATAGTAATTAAGTCATAATTTTATTTATAAACAATAATTATTGTGTGAAAAATTAATTTACTTGAATGATTTATACTATTTTTAGAAATAATGATAAAATTCATTAAAAGTTTTGTATTTTTAATGAATTACAATATAGAAATAAATATTACAAGCTTATTCATTGAAATTATCATTGATATTTATTATCCATTGTCATTAACATTACAAATGCTCATAAATAATTAAAATATTTAATTTAAATGTAAAACTATTTAACAGATCCTTCATTCAAACATACAAAATTCAGTATAACTATAGCTAACTATAGCCCACATTCAGTGGTATACTGACGTGTATTAAGAATATGTCATCAGAATATACTGTACGGGTATATATCGATTGTATTTAAAAGTTGTGTTCACTTGTAGGTACTTTTGAATAAAAATTATTTTATTAATAATTAAGCGTTTATTAATAAAATATAATCCTTTACTAAAATATTATTACATTACCCGCCAGGTTAGTCAGAATTTTTAAAATATACATATTGTATGATTTGTGAGATTCTAGTTAAAATACAATTTTTTAGTAATTAATTGTGTTTGCATATGAATTTGCTGCAAATCTACTGATTATATAAACAAATATATAAAATATTAATAAAAATCCTAATATATTTCCTAAAATTCTAAACATATTTTACAGAATTTTTATTAATAATAAATTAATAAAATATTTTAATGTTAAATATGACAATACATAGAACATTGACATAACATATGAAAATACAATTAATATTTTCTATAAAACTTATTTTCTATGAATTATTATACTAGTACACCAATTGATTTAACTATATTATAAATACGCCACTGATTCGTATGTAATATAAGTATATAAATTATATATTTTAAATATATTTTATGGTGAGTATACCTCGCTGTCAATATTCAAGGGTATTTAGCTCATTTGTATGTTGACTAACTCTAATAAATATTAATTTTATAAAATAAGAAAAAAGTTTTTTATTTAAATCGGTTTTGTTTGGTATTTAAAGAGTGAATCTCACGACTCGATTGATTATAAATAAGTTGTGTTTTATAGTCTGTGGTTTCGATAGTTAAATATCTAATTCATAGTTTTAAAACAAATTGTTTTATAAGAAATTATGAGTTATTTAGCAATAGTGGTGACGATTCTGTCGATAAGCACAAGTAGTTGGGCTCAGAATCAATGTGTCTGTCCTACCAGTGATGATGACTTGAGTACTTTGAAGTCAGTTTTTATTGTAAGTAAGAATTTCTCAAAATATTTCAGCTAAATATTTCTACTAGTCAAAAAATTCAATAATTAAATTTTAAAAATTGATAAATAATTAGCTTATGAGACATGGCATCCGAGCCCCTTGGACTACCTACCCATTGGATCCATTTGCTGCCAACAACTCGCAGCGATTCCCTAACGGAGGCTCACAATTGACTGATGTATTCATTATAACAGAAATAATATATAAACTAAATAAAAATTATAATATACTCTATATCTGATTGAATCACAAAATCTAAGGCTGGTATAGATCAGGCGTATAATATGGGCCGGTATTATAAGCAACGGTACGGCAAGTTTATCGATGAGAATCCCAAAAGTGCTTTCTTGAGGGCATCGGCAGCTCAACGATGTATCGACACCCTGTCCATTGTGGCCAAAAAGTTGTGGCCCCCGGCAGTCGATAATAAAAAGCAATGGCAGCCGGTAACTTTTGACAAATACAATACCTGTACCTAATTATAATAATTTTAATGTCTTTTTCAGATGATATTTTCATTGCCACAAAAGATCGATAGCGTATGTCTAACACAATAAAAAAAATTGTTGTTTGCATTTATTTATCTAATAAATAATCATTGAATGATCTCATATAGCAGACAACAAAACAATTATTTCCAAATCGATTAATGTTTTTTGTTTTCAATTTTATTGAATACTAATTAATTATATACATTATTATTAAATTAGTTAGAATTTTACTTTTTTTAGTGAATTGTTTCCAAAGTAAAAACGTTTAGAAATTTATCAATTAATTTATAAAATATATTCAGATTTTATACGAAGAGCCGGATTGCGAGCACGCGGAGGAAGAGGAGCAAAAAAATCTGAAGACTCCTGAAGTACAGGCCTATGAGGCCGACCCTAAGATACAGGTTACAGATATTTACGATACAACTAAAACATAGACTTTTGTAACAAAAACATTTTATTTATACTGTATTTGCATTGAAATGTTCAGGAATTATACAAATTCACGAAAGAAAAGACTGGACTTAAGGCCGACATGTATTCAGTGACCAAAGCGTTTGATTGTATCCGTTGTGAGAAACTCAATGGACTTCAATCGCCCGATTGGGCCACACCTGAGATCTACGATAGGATGGGTGATGTACTGTCCAATAGACTCAACTTCTTCTATAAGTCCACTAAAGCACAGAGACTTAGGGCTGGTATGTGTTGCCACAAATGTCCGTATTTTAATTTTTACCATTTATTAAATCTAAAATTTAGGACCAATTCTTGAGGACTTCAAGACAAATATGGATAATGTTATTAACGCTAAGGCGACCGATAAGCCTAAAAAAGTATACATTTATACCTCGGTAAGTGATTAACACCATAAATCACTATAACTTAAAAACACTAATTTTAAATTTATAAATGAGTGGTTATTAATTAATTAAATTTTTTGATATCATATATATCTATCTAAATAATAGCATGACTTCAAAATCGCATCGGTATTATCAGCTCTGGGTGACCCTCAACCCAAGTACCCTCCCTTCGCGGCGGCCCTCATACTTGAATTGCACAAAATTGGCGACAAAAACATCGTACGGGCCCTCTATGTGGACCAGACGGTCAACTGGCCCTACACCGCCATTAAGCTACCCCTCACCAAATGCCAGGTCAAAGCAGGTAATCCTCAAAAGCCAGATACGCTTGTCAAACATATTGCTAAAGACATTTCATCGACACTTAAAAAACTATCTCCCATTGAATTACCGAAATTTGGTGCCAATAAAACTACAGGTCCAGGTGCTAAGGACTGTACTTTCGAGAACTTTGTCAACTCGATCGCCGACTTAACACCAGTGGACTGGCGATCCGAGTGTGGACTGGACTGTAAGTATGACCCCTTCAAGTCGGCTGAAGACAATTTGGGACAAACATAGTGTGACTGTCAGAGAGCACTGGTAACCCATTATACTGTAATATGGGTGCTTTCGAGTGCAAGAATTTATTGATTTATAAATTGTATACTGTATACAATAATACTGTATTACATTTAAAGTTTAATTCAAATAAAATTCAAATGAAAACACAGTTAATTAATTAATTCATAGTATGAAAACTAAGCTAGCTATTAATGGTCCCGCGCAACAATTAGCCCCTTTTTTGCTACTCTAGTAATTACTACTTAGTGTCAATTTTGCAAATTAAGTTATAACAACGGTTTAGTCATTTAGAGTAATATTTCCGGATTAACCAAAATATGTCTCAAATCCTTCGTAAAGACACTTTCGACAGGATTTGTGACGATTTGTGTGAAGTATTGCTGTCTTACGAGACATTCACCGATTGATTCCGTCACCAATCAGTCTCTAAACAGTTCCAGAGATTGGTTTACACGACACAGAAAGACATGACCATTGATTACAAACTCTTGAATAGGATTACTACAAAGACACAAACTGGTGAAGAGTACTTCGACGCCAACCGAATGGCCATTATTATGAGAAAGTGTCTAAACGTTCAACGAATCGATTGCTTACAAATTAATAATGACAGACATCTGTTTGAAATCATTCACCAGTTTAGACACCATTGGCCTAACCTTAAGGAACTGTATTTTTATGTGGAGCAAACTGGTGGCACAAATGAGTTCTTGAATTTTCTGTACCCTATGTTTGGCAAACAACTCACTCGTATCACTGAAGTGGACTCCGGGGCCATACTATCTCTGACTGATTGTCCAACTCTGTCGCATCTGATTCTTATCGTACTTCCCGATGCTTTTGGACCACAAAACCAATTACTTGTCAAGAATTTAGTGTCACTTACATTCAAAATGATTTGTGAATCCAATATAACCTTCGATAACAATCTCTTCAAGACATTCATTGCGGCCAATCTATCCCTCAAACGTCTTAAAGTCAAAAATATTCCTCCAAATACTGAATCCAAAGAGACAACCATTCAATTCCTGAAACATTTGACTCGATTAACGAATTTAAATGAATTGAGTCTTACTTTTTGTTTATTTATCCATCAGAACCACCACTTAGAATATTTTGTCTCCTATTGTCTGTACAACTCGTTCAGAGATATCGGCCTAAAGTGTGTGTCTCTCAAGAAGTTGAGACTCCAACTGAGTACAGATCATCCGGCACTCAATGATGAGATCATGGATTCAATCCAACACTTCCGGTGCTTAAAACGTCTAGAATTGATACTCTATTCTGTAGGCAACTCAAGAGAATGGGATTCATTTGAGTGAATGAGTCGATGGCCGCAATGCATATCCCATCTGTCACTCAGTTTACATCCAATGAGTTAAGAATTCATTGCCAAAATCGACACAATCCTACCGGCGCTCCAGTATTTGAAAATCTATGACCAATCTTTCAGTGAAACCCGAATTTGTTTGAATCACTACTCAAGACTATCACTCCTTCAGATCCTCATCATTGATAGTTTTCCTAAGATTGAAGTCAATCTCAATGACGTGAATGAATTGCATAAGAAATGCCACAAACTGAGACATTTAGGCCATAATATTGATATAAAATTCTAACTTTAGAACTAATTTCAGACATTTTGACAGTAGAGTCAACACTTAATTTGTAAAACAGTTAATTTTGTGAATCTAAATTCATAAAGTCTTATTTTATTATTTTAATCGCTTTCTTTTATTCAATTTGTACGTATTCATTAAAATTAAGGTATTTTGTACTTTAAATGTTTTTCAATAACTTATTATAGATTCTATACTATACTACTATGTATAGAAATAGTCTACTGTATGAGTAATTAAATTACTGTAAGTTGTAAGTGATTAATGACTCATTAATATAGTGTTTATAGTACAAACTTTATACTAATATGCTATAAAACTATAACATAATTACAAATCTAATATCTAATCCAATAGTTTATAATTTTAAGAGCAATTTAAGTTACAATTCATTACTTTTGAAATTAATGTTTTTACAAAGCAATGCAACCATATTTTCAAATACAGTTTATTTGATGATCTATAGGTTATAACAGATTATAGGATACAGTATTGGTTTAAACAAAACATAAAACTCAATCAACTGATTGTCAATCAATGGGCTATGAATGCAATGAATGGCGGAGTCTTAGGAAGAATGCGATGAACTGGAGGACGCCCTGTGATCTGTTTTGGCCAAAGAGTTGGTTATAGCGGTGTAGACCTCAGAGATATTTGGGAAACTAGTGGTCTTCATGCGGATCACAATCCCGTTCACCTCCTGCTCGAAGACAGTGTCTGTGAATTGAGTATATCTTTTGATGGCGTCGTATGTGAAGCCCAGGAGTCGGATGTCATCCAAACTCAACGAATCAAACATCTCCTGAGGAAAGGCTTTCGACGACTCTTGAGCCAAATTGAAGTCCACGTACTTTAGTATACGGTAGGGCTCGGGCTCAGTCTCGTCCAGCGTATGAAACATGACATTCAAGACACTGATGTCTTTGTGGGTGACATACTGACTGTGCAGATACTTAAGGCCTTCCAAGAGGTCGAGAATCATATTCTTGGTCTCCGGCTGTGATATTTGGCTCCTATTTCGCTGATGAATCTGCAGGAAGTCACCCAACGTCTGTCCGTTCAAGTACTCCATAATCACGTAATTGTTTTTATACTGCATTTTCGCCACGAAGAAGATCTCGACCACATTCGGGTGATTCAAACTCATGAGTACTTTGCCTTCTGTCAGGACATTGTCGCGCGGCAGAGGTTTTATCCATTTGATGGCAAACGGGCGGCCGTTCAGTGACTCTTCCCTCATCTGTCGGGTGCCGGTGCTCCACATCCCGGCGCTGCCCTTTCCTCCGAAATTGATGTTCACTTCGACCAATTTAGAGGCCCTTTCGTTACACACCCCTCCGAATACCTTTCCGTAAAAGCCTTTCCCTATATAGGAGCCGACATCAAAGCCTATTCTACTCAACGCTCTCTTGTCTTCTTCGGGAAATGTCTCACTCTGTGGATCCCAGTCTGCCGTTGCCATCACTGTTGCTGTCTATAGATTGTCCGTTGATTTCAATATTAGATTTGTGAATATATTTGAATTGTAGTGAAAAGTCAGTAAATGAATGTAATTTAATCGTATTATTCGCGAGTGATTTATTGATTTGAGTTTCAATTCATTCATTTGTCGATTAGAAATAAATAATTCAATTAATTTATTGCCGTTATTATAGTGGTTTTAACTTGAAATTCATTTCTTAAATAGTTTTTCATTTTAGCAAATCCTATTACATCTTAAAGAGTCTAAAGAATGTCAGAAACTTTCAGAAGAGACACTTTCGACAGGATTTGTGACAATTTGTGTGAAGTATTGCTGTCTTACGAGACATTCACCGATCGATTCCGTCACCAATCAGTCTCTAAACAGTTCCAGAGATTGGTTTACACGACACAGAAAGACATGGAAGTTGATTGGGGACTCATGAGGAGGATGACTGCACGGAACCAATCGGGCGAAGAATACATTGACGCCAATCGTGTGGCTATTATTACGAAGAAATGTGCGAATATTGAGCGCATCGACTGCTCCCATGTTTGCGAGAGAATTAAACAATTCTTTGAATTCTTTGAAGCCATCCATAAGTTTAGAGTCTATTGTCCCAAATTGAAGGAACTGTATCTCAGTATTCGATATTCTGCTCTGAAGAGCAAGAGTTCATATCATATGTGTTCCCAATGTTTGGCCAAATTATTACCCGATTTGATGGCATCTTCTTCCTCGACAATCAATACCATCCTTTGTGTTCAAACTTATCAAATCTTATTGTCAATCAATTGGACGGTGTTTTCGATTCCCAAAACCAACTATTGGTTAAGAATTTAAAGACTTTTAAGTTTGCAATCGATTTGCCATTCAATGCTTCACTGTTTGAGACATTCATTGCCGCAAATCAGTCACTCAAACGCCTTAACTTTGCCATTCACTTAGTTCCTGAAACTCAAGACTTACTCATTCAAGTGATGACACAATTGACTCGATTTTCGGATTTAATTGAATTGCTTATAGGCTCTTATTGTAGTGAAATCTTAACGTGTTCACTATACAGCAAGTACACAAATATCGGTATAAAGTGTGTGTCACTTAAGAAGTTGTCACTCTATTTAATATCAAACCATCCGTCTCTCAATGATGAGATAATGGATTCATTCAGACATTTCCGCCGATTATCGCGTCTTGTCTTACATCTGAGTGTGAAAAGTAATGGAAATACAGACTTTAGAGAATGGGATTCATTTAAGTCAATGAGCCGATGGCCACAAACCATATCCCATCTGACACTCTCCTTATCCCCAATGTGATTGCCAAACTTCACACAATTCTACCGGCGCTCCTGTATTTAGAAATCTGGGACCCATTTGTCCACCAAAACGGCGTTTGTTTGGATCAGTACTCAAGTCTCCTATTACTTCATACACTTATAACAGTAGATACACTTCAAAGTGATCCACATATTTCTGTCAATTTGTCAGATGTGATTGAATTGCTCCGGAAGTGCCCTAAACTCTCACAAATTGGCGGTAATATCAGTATTAAGTGCTAAATTAGAAATCAATTTGTTTGAGTTATACCTCTGTATCTACTTTACACAAAATGTCTTTATTTTTTCAATAAATGTTTTAATACTCTATCATATAATACTCTTATTTGATATGCTAATGCAGTAATATAAAATTCTGTATTTTTAAAAGAGTTATACCTCTGTATCTACTTTACACAAAATGTCTTTATTTTTTCAATAAATGTTTTAATACTCTATCATATAATACTCTTATTTGATATGCTAATGCAGTAATATAAAATTCTGTATTTTTAAATTTATGTAAAATTTTAAAATATTTATTTAATGAATTAGCAATCAAATTATTTTGTAAAATGAAAATTGCCAAATTATCAAATACTAATAAAAACTAATTAATGAATTTTTGCAAAACACATATCATACCCTAACCACATGAATAATAAATGTAATTAAATAGAAATCAAAATGTTTACAATTTATTGGGAAAATGAATTCATTGTAGTATCAAACGAGTCAAACTTGATGTCGATTCTAACATGGTATCCAATGGATCCATATTCCCAATCGATTTACTGATGAATGTCCTAACGGACATCCGTTTATCCGTAGAAACTTTAGTCTTAACTTTGTTGTCGCCCACACTTAAAATATTTTTATGATTTATAGACTTTTTCGATGAATAATGCATTGGAGATAAAATTGAGACCACTTTTGCGGTTTTCGTTTTATTACTGAATTTATTATTTAATTTATTGCTAAAAATTGTTTTCTTATGCTTCGCATTGAATTGAAAATTAGTTTTATGACTTTTCTTTACATATTTGCTTCTTATGATACCCGGCATTCGTAGGGCACCTAATCTATGGGACATATAGGTCTAATTGTTTTATTGAAAGTATCATCAATTAGTGAGGCTACACTTTACCTTCATCAAATTCACCATCAAGGAAGTCGTCGTTGTCCCACCAGTGCCTCTTCCCGCCCTTTCGCTTGGGTTTCTTTGGTCCCTTCGGTACCTTTATATCCGATTCCTCGGCAAGTGTCACGTCATCCGTGTCCTCCCCTTCAGTGATGTTGCTAATGGACTCAGAAGTCGTGGACTCGTCACTGGGTTCCGTCTGTTCCTCCCCGTCCTCGGACAGCTCAGTAGTAGTCGCGTCGTTTTCCGACTCAGCCGCCGATCCTGTGATTACTTCTACGACTTCTGACTCCTCAGTAGTAGTCGTAGTGGATATGGACTGAGTTGCAGGAGATTTCTGTTTTTTAATAACCCTTAACCCTTTAGCAGCCTTTGATCCTTTAGTAACCTTTGACCCCGTAATAGTTTTGAAACTTTTCTTAGTCTTTGTTGTGCTAATTGATTGAACAGTAGATTCTTCTGTATCCTCTGATCCTTCACTAGCATTCGTAGTGTTCATTGACTGAGTTGTCGGCACCTGATGTTTATGAGTAACCTTTGACCGAACACTGGATTCTGTACGTTCTTCTGTGACTTCTGTCCCTTCATTAGTAGTCATACTGGCTATGGATTGAGTTGTCGGGCCTGAATGGGAAGTCTTTGAACCTTTGCTAGACTTTGTTGTGTTTATTAATAAGTCAGTTGATTCAATATGCTCTTCAGCGATCTCTGGCCTTACATTAGCGTTGATTCTGTCAACGATTTGAATAATAGATTCTGTGTGTTCTTGTATATCGTCTGCTCCATCAATAGTATTAGTAGACAATAGGGACTGAGTTGTCGATGCACTCAGTTTTTTGGTAGCCTCTGAGCCCTTGTTAACATTTGTTGCGGTCATTGAATGAGCACCAGGTTCTGTATGTCCCTCAGATACGTCTGACTCCTCAGTAGTACTCAAAGTGTTTTTGGATTGAGTTGTCGGTGCCGTAAACAGTTGACTAGCTTTTGAGTTCTTGATAAAATGTGTTGTGCTTATAGTATGTTCAGTAGTAGACTCGATATGTTCTTCGGCAACATTTGAACTCACAGTAGAATCGGTAGCGTCTATAGACTCCGTGTGGCTTATTGACTGAGCAAGATCTTTCTTCAACGTTGATCCCTCACCAGGAGCTGTAGTACTTACGGAGTGGACGCTAGGATGTGTTTGCCCTTTCGTGACCTCTACAGCGTTAGCAAACTCAATAAATTCATCGGGTGACCCGTCATCACCAGTTATAGCACTTGTACTCTGAACTGTTTGTTCTGTATGTCCATCCGCGACCCCTGAACTCTCAGTGGTATTCCTACTGTTCAGCGCACCTCTAAGTTCTTCGATCAACTCCGACCCCTTATAGGCTATTGTGGTGCTTATGGAGGGGACATATGATTCTGTAAGTGGTTCGTTGTAATACGAACTCTCATTAGTATTCGTAGCGTTTGATGTCTGATCCAATTCTCGCAAGAACTCTAACCCATCGTTGTCAACAACTGTAGTTCTTATGGACTGTTTTGTATGTCCTTCCGTAACCTCTGATCCCTCATTAGTGTTTGTAGTATCTGTGGACTGAGTTGTCGGTGCCGTAAGTTTATGAGGGACCTGTGTATTCGTCTTAGTACTTGTAGTGCTTATTAAATGAACGACAGATTCAGTAGATTCTTCAGTAACCTCTGAACTTTCATTAGCGTTGACAGTGCTAGTAGTCTGACCACTGGGTTGTGAATGTCCTTTCTCCAATTCCGTCACATTTGAATTCTGATAAGAATCGGTAGAGTCCATAGAATGGTCGAGTTTATCCATGTACACTGACCCCTCGTCAGTTACGTTAATTACTGACTGGTCACTGGATTCTGAATGGTCATCCATATCATCTGAGTTATTAGTGGTATCCGTAGTGTTCAACGAACCACTAAGTTCTTCCTCGAACTTCTCATCGGAATGTGACTCAGTAGTAGTATAGTGTTCTGTAGGTACCCCGGTCACCTCTAATAACTCATTATTAAGTGTTGTATTTAATGATAGTCTTGTCTGTGGAGTAGGACTTTGGATAACTTTTATCGCCTTATCTCTATTCACAGTCTTTATTAGTTTAACAATAGATTTTGGGAGTCCTTTCGTGACCCCTGGCCTTACATTAGTTTTGGTATTGCTTAGCACCTCAACACTGGATTCTGTATGATTTTTCGTTATCTCTGACTCCGTATTGGTATCCAAAGTGTTTACGGATTGAGTTATGGGTGCCGTTAGTTTTGGGATAACTTTCGACTTCTTATTAGTCTCTGGTGTGCCTATAGTTAGATCACTGGCTTTCGTATGTCCTTCCACCACCTCTGATACCTCGTGAGGATCTATAAAGGAAATGGACTCAACTGAAGGTATGGAAGGTTCTTTGATGTCATCCAACACATCTGTTAGACTATCATTGTTTATAGTTGTGTGAACCTGGTACTGGAATTGAAGCAGTGGTCTCTTCGGGTCCCTTATCGATGAGAAGGGATCAACAGTTGTTGAAGTCTCGTTGCCCTTTGACCCCTCATTAGTAGCCACAGTGTTTGTGAGCTTAACACCCGGCTGTGTAGGCTCTCCCGTGACCACTGACTTCTTTTTAGTATTCTTAGTGCTTATTGTTTGATCAGTGGGTGTCGTATGATTTTCTTGGGCTACCGATCCCTCAGTGCTAACCCATTCGGGGAATTCTATCAATGGCCGTAACTTTAGTTTTGAATCAAATCTGTCCTTAAAGTTATCCAAAATATATATTATATCAGTAGTGGTGTGGGTGGGGGTGAGCGCTGTGGTGGTGACCCGACTCTGGCCATCGCCTGAGCCCTCGTTAATCAACAATTGAACGGCCGATTCCTGTACTCCGTAATCGTTAGCTTCTTCATACCGGGTCTTAATTGTGTTTCAAATAAATGTTAATTAATTGATTAATTAAGACATAAATGAAATTATGAATAGTAATGATTAGTAATTTAACTTTAACTTAATTTTTAAATACATTTTACTGTTTAATTAACTGATAGTGTAGTAACTACACTGTAGTTAATACTGCATATAATTTATGGTTGAGTACATACAGTTACATTGTTATGCAATAAAAGTTAAGAATTGAACTTGTACTAAAATTAATTATAATAATTAGTATAAAGTTTTATGCCAAAATGCTATACATCATCGCCATCAACAGATGTGCCACCACCATTTGCACCAGTATCACTTATTTTTGCAGTTTCTGTAGATATATCATCATTAGGAGTAGTGACTATACTCTGATCATTTGATGGCACACTAGTAGAAATATTGTTAAAAATAATTACTTGTTGTCTATATATATACTAGACCTTGGTGGTGTTTTCTGAACAATCGCATATTTACTATCTTTATGTTTAGGCGCTTGTCTGGACAGTTTAGTCTGTAGACAATTGATTAAACATAATGTAAATATAATATAATACACTATAATTATTAGTGATGCCATTATTAACTGACTGTATGCTGTAAATTAATTTTTTCATTATCGTATTAAATTTCAGTAATAAAATTAATTTTAGATTTACAGTAATGACTTGTCTAATGGTGCAAAAATATATTTTTAAATTCAATTTAGAAATTAAAAAGTTTTAATAAATTTGACCTTTTTGTAAAAATCCTATAAATGCTGCATACATTTAAATAAATGTTTGCATTATAATTAAAATTTCAATTTGTAAAAAAATTATGCATTTTTCAGTTGTAAAATTAATTACTTTTATTGTAATTTCACATATTTTTTTCATAGAACAGACAATTAATTACCGTATAGTAAAATAAATTAAATGATTGTTTTCATGAGTTTGTGTGAGAATTGGTTTACAAAAAAGTTTAGTCACATAAGAAATTACAAATTATAAGATATAAATACAAATTACACACAAATAAGTTAAATGTCAAGTAAAATATACACATAAATGGTCGACACCATTAAATATCATATAAATTATTCACATATCGAGTCATACATTGTATTTAACAACTAAATAAAGTCTAATATATATATACTTTAGGATCATTAGGGACAGGGAGGACAGGCGGAAAAAGGATGTAAAACATCTGAAAAATTCTTCAATAATTTTGACTACAAATGATTTTTGACTTAAAACACCAAATAAATGAGTTAAATAAATAATTTTGTCAATAAAACAAATAAATTATTTTCCATTAAAAACACATCGAAACTAATGACTAAATCACTGAATACATGAGCTTAAGGTACGCCTGTTTGATGAGCAATAGGTTAGAGCTCAGGGATCCCTTCAAATGATAAGAAATGTTTGGCATATCCATCACAAAACTGTGGATCAGGTACTCGTGGATCATCATCAGGGCCATAGCCATCGGCACCAACACCACCACAATCGTAGTCAATAGCGCCATCAGTAGTATGAGGGCTGACATCCCGATGACAATCATCATCTGGAAAGTGGACGGCTCCTCATCCGACAGCTTATTACTCCTCTGTGTATCCACCCGGAGGGTCAGGTTCTTAGGCAGCGACAGGTTGGCCAACATTTTCTTGTTTAATTGTGACGTACAGAGGGTGATGTCGATACGACGCTCCCGGTGCTCCTCACACACGTTGATCGCACGTATGACCAGATTTTCGGTGATTTGCGATAAGTCTGTCAATACTAATGTCTTGAGTTGTGTTTTGTTTAATAATGTTTTGACCGACGAGTCGCTTATGGAGTGAAATGCTGAGAGGGTTAGGCGTTGTAATGGCAGCGCCGATAGGCATGTGATGCCGGTGTCACTGATTAAGCCATTTCCTAAAAGAGGGAATAAAACAATGACATAATTAAGTTTATGCACATACTAATTAAACTAGCATGGCCAACTTTCCGTATCGAGAAATTCCTTCTTAGTTGTAAACAAAAAATGCTTGTAAGAAGCGAAAGATAAGCCTATATTAGTCAGGTATCATCCGAAAGTATAAAATGTAGATGTATAAAATAGTACTAGTGCCAAATGCGAAGTATGCAAACTAGCATCGACAGAACTTTTAACTCAGTTATCTAACCATAAACCATATAATAGATTATTCAATAGTGAATATTCAATAGATAAAACTATTGTATAATTTAATATTATAAATGTTTATAAAACAAATATTTAATTTCAAATATGATTTTTTCTTTAATATAATTATTACAAAGTAAGCTAAAAATTACTTTTTAATTAACTACTGTACTATAAGCATTTTACATTTATTACAACTTTTAATAATAATGTCAAACAGTACTACTGTATAAATAAAAAAGCAGGGTTTATAGGTAAGAATCTGTTAACACATTACATTTAAAATTATACAGTATTACTAACTGAAAAGTTTATGAAAGTTATTTAATTTAAACGGTAAATTGTTCGGGTTATTTTGTGTTTAACATAATAGAAAATCCAAAATGTTTTCAACATATTCAAATTTTAACGCTATTTTTTGCATTATGTAAATATAATTTAGAAAATTATATTCCAAATCGCCTTAAGTTTCCCAAACGTGGCGGTGATTCCGGATCCAGAATTTATGTGCTGCTCATTATAAGCGTGACTTTGAGCCTTTAACTTAATCTGTGTGGCCAACAGCTTGCTAATAGCCGGTCCATTCCACTTCAGGCCGCATAGTTGCTTGATAATTTGATCGATATCCTCAACCGATATAGTACCTTGATCGCTTTTCTTCATAGCATCCACAATGACGTCCTTTTCATATTTATACCGTTTCAGCATTTTCTCCAATTTGTCGATGGTCACTTTGTTGTCACCTTGTTTTTCGTTCTCAATGATAATTTTCACGTAATCCTCGAACGCATCGTTGAAAGGGGTCAGGGCGTTATTTTTGAGGAAACACGCAAACTTAGCCATGCACTTTGTAATCAAATTATTCTCGATGGTCAACTCGTCTATTTTGACTTGTAGCTTTTGAATTTGAGCTTGTTGCGCCATGCTCATTTCTCTGGTGGTGGTGATGCGCTGGTATTTGCTCTCATCGCGGACTTTCTTGTTCACAATACGGGTCTCGTAATTGATGTGTAGGTGCGATTGATACGAGTGCTTGCATTCGTAGCATTTGTCCGATTTAATGACCTTTGATGGCGTTGATAATACCTTTCCCTCTGCGTTCAATTCATGCGGCTTAAAATTTTTGTGATCAGGGTAAAGTTCTGACGGATCGCTATAGATGTCTGGACCGACTCGTTCATACTTATTGAATGCTTTACAGTCTAGTAGACCTTTATTTCCCACAATATTACCATCGCTATGTGTCAAGTAGCATGGTGAATGGCAACTGGTCTTGTAGTGGGTCTTAATGTTTCCGTTAATGTTCTCCTGAGTGCAACAGTTTTTGTCACTGCAGACAGTCTTCGGGTGATCTAATGGATCGGTTTCGATATCCACTGAAGGGATATACAGTTCCTTTTGGAGATCGTTAATATCACCCGTGAACTCATGGATCTTTTGTTTGTGTCGTTCGCATTGTTTTACGTTATCCGAGATGTTCTTCGCGATGTCAGCCAAGGGTTGAGTCAATAGAAGTATATTCTGTTTGGCGTTATTGAGGGATAGGGTGTCCATCACCTTATGGGGTGGCAGTGATAATATGCGCTCCAATAATCGATCGCATTCTTTGACTGATCTGGTTATGTTTTAAAATATTCAAATTTTATTTATTTAACCTAATTAAAAATATATTTATGAAAGCCTAATATTAAATAAGGGTTTTCATAATAACCTATTAAAAAGTTTAAACTTTTATAAAAAAAACTAATTTCATATTAGAGCCTCAGGGTTAATGAATTTACGACGTTATAATATTATATATACAGTACGTACCCCTGCCAACTCATTTCGTAATCACGTGTTAGCATGTCGTCAAACACCATGTTATTAGGCGGTGCCGACGCCACTGCAAACCGAAAGGCTTCGTTATCAAAGCAATAGATCGTTTTCTTGTCGTACTCTATGTCCACATACGGCGGGCTTTTCCTGATTTGATCCAAAAGTGATATCAACGCGGGGCCGGTATCTCCCGGTGCGTATTGTGTTGACCGGGCATTGGTAAAGAGGAACAGTATGTTATCGGCCGCAGATTTATTCAAGTGACTGAACAACTGTAACAAACAATACTTGAAGACTACGCCAACCCTCGCATTATTAGGCTTTAAGAGCACACAAATTGCGTTAATTTCGGGATAATTGGATATAAAGTCCAATATATTTTTCATATTATTGTTATCCTTATCAATACCCTTTGTGTCGGCAATACCCGGAGTGTCTATTATATTCAGTGTAACATTACCAATTTCAAACTTATAGCATTTGGGATATTGTGTGGCCGATTTGGTAGCATCGCCCGTATTTTCATTGTTATCGTGAGTGCCTAACGATACAGTCCTAAGTCGATAAGTCTCGCGATCAGCCAATGTAAAATTGACCGGTATGAGGCATATTGGTTTCAATTTGGCCTGGTGCATATTTTCGTAATTAATATAATTGACGAATGCGTTGATGAATGTGGACTTTCCCACACCGGACTCGCCCAGCAATAGGATTGTTAATGTTTTATTGCACGTGGCGGCAATGTTGGCAAATGCTTTCGTAGGATTTTCCTGTTGTTTTTTATCAAAAGGTAATTGGTTATCAGTCATATGTTGAATTTCAGTCCTAGGTTGGCTATCAGTCCTAATTTTGCTTTCACCCCTCGGTTGATTATCAGTCTTAGGTGATTGAGCCAGTTTCATTTTATCAATAGTGATATTTACAGGAAATGGTTTTATGTCCGATAGATATTGTAGTAAGCGATTGCATTCTGTGACTGATCTATTAATTTAAGTAAAATTAAAATTAATAATTTATTTATTTTAAAATACAGTAATACTATATCATACTTGGACCAGGACACTTCATGCTCGTGTTTCGTGTCTGCGTTAAATACCATATTATTCGGGGGAACAGTAGCCGCCAGGTGTCGGAAGGACTCGTTATCGAAACAATACAGTGTACTTTTGTTAAATTTTATATCAATATCACCTTGTGGGTCAATAACTTTACTTATGGCTGTTTTGGTAGCTAGCACAGTTTCTCCTGGGTTGCGAGCGTTTGGGAATACGAATAACAAATTATCAGTTAATTTCTTATTCAAATGATTGATTAGTTGTAGCAAATAATTATTAAAAATGTATTCAATCCGGGTGTTATTAGGCTTTAAAAGCACACAAATTGCGTTAATCTCCCGGTAATTGCTTATAAAGTCCAATATTTTTATTATATTTGTATGATTCGTATCGACGTCATCCGTTTTGCCAATATCCGGGGTATCAATTATATCAAGCTTAATTTTGTTAGTTGAATATTTATAACATTTTGGACTATTTGATAACTTATTTGAATTGGTAGCTTGAAGGACAATAGTCTTAAGTTCATAAGTATCCTGGTCCATTAATGAGAATTTCTCATTTAATAGACATTTGAGTTGCCCATCCCTGGCCTCATCCATAGTCTCATATGTCATATAATTGACAAATGCGTTGATAAATGTGGACTTTCCGACATCCGACTCACCCAACAATAGAAGGGTTATATCTTTTTGCTTATCACCAAGTTCAATCTGGTCATTTTGGAAGGTTTCCTGTTTCTTTGTTCCCTCAACAATAACCTTTGGAAGTGTACTAATATAGTACAACAATCGCATGCATTCCGCATAGGATCTAGTTACATTTTTCAAGTTTATTTTAAAATTATAATTAAAATAACATTTATAAATTTACTACCTTTTCCATTTAATAGCCTGGTCGATTTTGACATCTTTACTCAACTCCATATTATTAGGCGAGGCCGCTGCCACGGCATACGTGAATGACTCGTAATTTACGCAATAAATTGTTTGCTTGTTGTGTTTGATGTCAATATCGGGAGTGTTTACCCTGACACGACTCAATTCAGATATTAATATTGTGGCTGAGTTTCCCGGTGTGTCCGTATTGGTGAAGAGAAACAGTATGTTATCGGCGGCCGACTTATTCAAGTGACTCAACAACTGTAGCAAACAATTCTTGAAAATCAAGTCAACCTGGGTATTATTAGGCTTAATGAGCACACAAATAGCGTTAATTTCCCGGTAATCGGATATAAAGTCCAACAGATTTTTAAAATTATTTTCATCCCAATCATCGTCAATATCCGGGGTATCAATGATATTAAGTTCAAAATCACTGATTGAGAAATTATGGCATTTTATAGCTTGGTCTAATTTTGTTTTACTTTCAATTGCCTCTTGAATAGTAGTTCCAAGTTGGACACTTTTAACTTCATACGTATCATGGTCAAATAAGCTTAAACTCTCAGGCAATACACAAATTGGTTGTTCGCTTCCATCGTAAAGGTTTTTATAACTTAAATAGTTGGCCAACGCGTTGATGAAAGTAGTCTTTCCCACACCCGACTCACCCAATAATAGTATATTTAAGTTGAGTTTAGAATTCATTATTCTGTAAAACTAATTATAATTTCATTTATTAAAAAGTAATTTTAAAATTATAAAAAATTTAAATAAAATTACTAGCGAATTAATAATAAATCAATGTTCATTATATTTCTTATAAAATTTTGTAACAGGCCTTTATTATAATTACACTAAATAATAAAATATTATTTTTTAGCATAGCTTTTATATATTCAATCCCTAGATAAATTATGTATAGTCTATATCATGCATTAACAAAACTTTTAAAATCTTAAAAATAGCGATGCATTAAATCTATAATTTTATTAAAAGTACTCAACACTAGTACTCAACAATTATACTATAAACTTTTAATATAAGAATTAGTGACTT